TCATGCCTTCATCGTTGCTAGCATACATGAGATCATCAACATAGAGATCGAGGATCAGAATACTAGGGCCAATCTTCTTTATGAACAAAGTATGCTCATAGGGGTATCTTGCAAAACCAGATTCAAGAAAGTAAGACTCTATTCTGCTATACTAGGCCTTGGGAGCCTGTTTAAGTCCATAGAGAGCTTTGTGAAGTTTGTAAACCTTTTCTTCCTCTCATGCAACCTCAAAACCAGGAGGTTGCTTGACATAGACCTCTTCAAAAAGCTCTCCATGGAGGAAAGCGCTTTTCACATCAAGCTGATATACTGACAGACCATAATGAGCTGCTAGAGCTAGAAGCGTTCTGATAGTGTCACATCTGGCTATAGGTGCAAGCACCTCATCATAGTCAAAACCATGTCTCGGAGCATACCCTTTTGCTACAAGCCTGGCCTTGAATTTATCAATAGATCCATCCTCCTTCAATTTAGTTCTGAAAACCCACTTTTCTTGATGGATTGCATTTCCTGCTTCATTGCTGCTCTCCATAGTGGATCCAGAATGGCTTCCTCGAATGTTTGAGGATCATCTGTTATAGCCACCATGGCTATCCAGTCAGTGGAAGCGAATCCCAGCTCATATGCATCAAAATATCCTGGCACCTTGCGAACTCTCTTGCCAAAGCCTCCGCTAGGTAAACCAAGCACATATGTAGTAGGTTGAGACCCCTCCTCATAAATCTCATCATTGGTGTGATGATCTGCAGATCCAGAAGGTACCAGTGATCCAATTGGAATATCAGTGTTATCCAAGTCATCTTCTAGGTCAGAATCAACTCATTCCTCTTCACTTCCTTCCCAAGACAGTTGTATAAGGGCTGGTTGAATAGAAGAATGCCAGGTCCAACCCTTAGTTTCATCAAAAACCACATCTCTACTAACCATAACCTCTTTTGTGTTGGAGTTGTAGAGCTTGTAGGCTTTAGACTCCACTGAGATCCCCAGAAAATGACAAGTTGTGCCCTTGTCATATAACTTCCTTCGTTGCTGATCTGGAACATGCACATAGGCCAAGCAACCAAATATTCTAAAATGAGACACTAAAGGGGGTTTACCTGTCCACAATTCTTGAAGAGTTCTGCCTTTGTTTGCTGTTGTGGGACTTCTAATCAGCACATAAGTGGTCCAAGCCACTACTTCTGCCCAAAAAAATAGCAGGAACATGCATATTAGCTAGCATACATTGAAATGGTTATGTTCTTTCTCTCTGCCACCCCATTCTGCTGTGGGGTTAAGGAAGCAGTGAGCTGCCTCCTTATTCCTTTCTCATCACATAGCTCTTTAAATTCAGTAAGTATAAACTCCCCTCCCCTATCAGTTCTCAGACACTGAAGGGTAAGACAGGTTTCTTGTTCAACTTGTGCTATGAACTTCTTAAAGCAGTCTAGTGTATCTGATTTAGCTACTAAGAAGTGCACCCATAGTTTCCTGCTAAGATTATCTATGATTGTAAGTATGTATCTATTTCCACTGTTTGAAGTAGGTGTGATGGGGCCACACAAGTCTGCATGAATTAGTTGCAGTTTGGCAGTTGCCCTCCAACCACTCTTCTTAGGAAAAGGTTGTCTGTGCTGTTTACCTATCTGACAGGTACCACAGACACCCACATATCCCTTCAGAGGAGGTAGATCAACAACCAACCCCTTATGCTGCAGTGTTTGTAACCCTCTAGGGTTGAAATGACCAAACCTTCTATGTCATAGAGTTAGGGACTGACTACTATCATCTGTGATCTTAAAACAGTGAGTTTGCTGAACTGATGGCTCATCACGAATAACAAACATACGATTTGTTTTCATCTCAGTTTGCAGCAACATTCCTTTATCATCATGAATTTATTTTACTAATGACATGTTTAATTAAGAAAGCCAGACACTTCTCTTGTAATTGACCAATGTTAGCGGATTGCTTCTTAAGCCAAGCACATAAAATACATCTTGAATAACCATATTCAATTCAGGAGCTGTGAGTTTGATAATACCTTTAGCAAATAAAGCTAGCTAGTTGTCGTTGCCAAATCTCACAATACCAGAGAAATCCTCAGCTACCTCAGTGAACCACACCTTTTGTCTCCATTTTTGGTTTGCTTGACTTCTTCTAGCAAAGCCATCAAGCCTAGAGTTTCTTCCTCCAACTCTAACGAGTCTTTGGAGTCAACACAGGCCATTATCAACATATCTTCTTTGAGGTGACCTAACTTGTGGCACTTGAAGCATTCAACAGTTTCTCTATTTCAACCTCTTCTTCTTCCTCTCCCTAGATAGAAACCCCTGCCAAAACCTCTTCCTCCTCGCCCATATTCATGAGAGACCCTGAGAGCTTGGTCTTCCACAAGTGCAGCAATGATAGTCTTTCTATTGAACTTTTGCTCATGCACCAGTAGGGAGCTTTGAAGTGCATCTACTGTGAGCATATCAATATCTTTCGATTCTTCAATAGAGCAGACTACATAATTAAAATTTTCAGTTAAAGTTCACAGGATCTTCTCTACAATTTTCTCATCTGGCATATCCTCACCACAGTTTCTCATAGTGTTGGCAATCACCATCACTCTACCAAAATACTCAGAAATTGATTCTCCTTCTTTCATTTCAAGCAACTCAAAATTTCGTCGAAGTACCTGGAGCTGAGCCTTTTGAACCCTTGCACTGCCTTGAAACTTCTCCTTCATGGACTCCCATAGTTCTCTAGTTGTCCCCTTCTTGGCAATGGTCTTCAACATGGTTCTGTCAATAGAGCTAAACAAATAGTTCTTAGCCTTTAAATCTTTCAGCCTCAACTCTTCGAGACTCTTGAGTTGCATTTAAGAGAGCACATAATTCATCCCCTCTGCCGGTTCCTTGAAGCCAGGACTGATGACAGTCCAGTATTCCTTAGAGTGCAGCAAATTCTCCCTGAGCAAAGTCTAGTGCTCATAATCCCCATCGAATTTTGGGATGCAAATCTGAGCACGACTTCCATTTTCACTCATGATTACAAGCTTGTGTTAAAAACGCTTGTCCCTCACCCTGATAATCAAGATACCTCACAATACCTCTCGTGTTTCCCTTAACCCATACCAGACACGATTTCACACACCTCTCTTAATCTCACTTTTCACAAATGTTGGTTACAGTTTGCCTGAGTGCTCTGATACCACAATGTAGATCTCAAAAGCTATTGCAAATTGATGAATCTTATTGATAATTGGGAAAGACTCTAAATACTTGATGTTTGCCAACATACTCAGCCACTAACAATGGCCACTAACTCCTAAACCCTTCATTTCAGGTAGTGCTGGCTATTTGGTCCGACCTTTTTGGCTTTACCCGAAACTGGACCGTATAACCCGGACCGGGACCGGATAGCAAACAATCCAATCCAATCTTTGCGCCTAGATTTGAGGTAAAAAAAAGTTTGGGACCGGACCAAAAACCGGATAAAAACCGGATAGGAGAGCCCAACACCCAAAATTTAACCTCCTCATCCTTTCAGGCCTTAGGCCACTCAAATCCCCCTCAGCCACTCAAATCCCCACAAGCTCAATCTAAAATCAAGAGCGAATTGGGACCGGACCAGATCAAGTTGGACAATTTTAACCGGACCGGACCGTATAGCCACCCCTAATTTCTGGTGCCACTAACTAACCAACTAACAACACTTTGACTTTGCTGCTAATTCACTCAACACACTCGACATGACTCAATTGCAACATAATAAAACTCAAAGCCCCTAAGTGAACTAAATCAGACGACACCATCTTTCTTAAACCAGACACAGACTTTATTTGAACTTCAGTCTTGGCGCCAGTCTTCAATCCTTCTGCTGCAAGGATTACAACTTCTCCAAGCCTGCTGCTGCTAAGAAACTTCAACCGAACAAATTTTGATAATAAAATGTCATCGCATCAATCCAATGAGTGCAGGAGGGCACGCAACGCCTGATTAGCAACTCGCAACCATGGATATGAGCTTGTTCTCGCAAAAAGGTTGTGAGCATAATAGCTAGATTGATTCTGAAAGGGGGAAGCATTACCTAGAACATCCTCATGATGACATGCCCTATCTACTTAATTTTACATTATACATATACATCCCCATAGGCATAGATAGGCTTCTCTTTTTCTAACGAAGAATTATAATAGCCCAATACAGAAGAGAAGAATAGGTGATAAGTCAATGGTACGCCAAAGCTTAAAACTTATTATCTAGAATCACCAACAGCTTATCACATAATTTTAAAGTCTTTTCTCTTTGCTTCTGCATAGATCTAAATCGAGAAATGTCTCCTAGCTGACGTGACTCAAGTGTGCCATTTGATAACAGGGAATCATATTCATGCTTATAGATAATAATTAAGTGGGTTAGGAACTTAGGATCGAATACTTGCCTTAATTGGAGCAAACAAGTGGCCACCACAAGGGATAATGTTTTCAATTAGAACCACCAAGAGTAGTAGACTAAACACAACGACTCCAAATTCTAAGGGATTTATATAAAAAATTCTGACGAAGCAAAACCCAAAAAAAGAAGGGGAAAGAGAGAGAGAGAAGAAAAGAAAAGGGTAGTTTACCATCATTCTTGCTTTGAGGTTTCAGCATTGGATGCATATGATATATGTATTTATAAAATTGTTCGACCGCGTTCAATTTGTGAACATATAGAATCGTGTGATGAGTGATTCAACGATGTAATGTAACATGTGAGGGTGTATAATGATATAGTTCGGTCAGTTCGCACTGTATTGGACATAATTAAGTCGATGTTTTGATTGGATAACAACGGATCAAATATAATGCAATCTGATACTTGATCTCAAGAACTTTTATAAATCGCGAAGAAAAATGAACCGAATTGATATTTTGGACAGAACCACACCAAATCGAATGAAATGATGGTTTGGTGCTTGTCTTTAAGGTTCTTATATTAGTGAACCGACAACCCGCTCGAAAAACACTTATATACAAGCTCAATCTAATAGGTGATTGAAATACATTTAAACCATAATTTCATCACAAAATATCTTACAAAGTCAATCCAACCTACGATCCGGTTTTACATACTATTTTTTTTTACTCCCATAAATGGGGTGTCTTACAAGCCAACATAAAATATTGGGCCCGACATCCACCCTTGAATGGCCATTTCCTCCAAGTGGTAAGTTGGCTTTCTACGAATTCATTCAGTCACAAGCCAGAAATGGAAACAACAAATTAAAAGAAAGTGGGAGGGGGATTTAGAATATCAGATTCCTGGTTACAGATAAAAAAAAATATTGCTTTTCCCAGCCTGCAGCTGTTGCTTTAGGTGCTGGAACTGTATCTGTGACTGAAGAAAGGAATATTAACTGGGATCCACAACATCATCTGCATTGCTTTACAACTTTTCTAGACACCACCACCTCGAACAAAACACAGAAAGACAGATTCAACACATTATTCTGCAACCTCTACTGCTACTGTCTACGTTACGTACGTGACGATCTTAGGACGACGGAGTAAGTAGTAGCTAATAGTGCCGCTGCTTCTGATGACGATGTTAGTTTCTTCGCACAAACCAAAAAACAAGCAGCTAGAACGCTTTCGGCCTCACACAAATGCTGTACCACGAACATTACAGAAATGACAGCATCCATCAGTAACGACTCCAAACTCGTAGGTGCTTTTGGCTTGGTTCTGTACATGCAATTACCTTGCCAGATAAACCACTCCAAATTCTGTCTCGAAACTTCTCTCGTTACAATTCTCCCCTCCAACTATACAAGCGAAATTAGTTCGGAAGAACAGCGACGAATCCTCCTCTTGCTGCTGCTTGCTGCAAAAGCTATCCGTCATTATCGATTCTTTCAAAGTCCACTTTCTTCTCTTGACAAGCTAAATACCATGACCTTACCAAGCTCCAACCTTCATGCTATGTGTTCTTTTGAATCATCAAAAAGATCTCTAACCACTTGCTGCCAAAGGTCTAATGCTCTGAGAAAGATCCATCAATCACCTTCGCCTTCCATGATAGAATCCACCGCCAGAATGATAAATATGCCTATGACGTTGGGATCCAACACCTCTTCCACCACCACTTCCATCCCATGGCCCACTTCGGCCGCCAGATCTGCCGCCATGTCCACCACCGCTAGGGCTCCAGTTTGATGTCTGCTGGGGCCCGAGGCCATTGTTCTCCTCTTCTTCCCTGTCATTATACTCCAACACAAACCTCTTGATATCTTGTTTCTCCTCTAACTCAGCCGCTTCCATTTGTTTTGTGCTCTGCACGAGAGAGCAATCACTGGGAATATACATCTGTTTCGTCTGTTGCTTGTTGCCACGCTTAACAAGCACTTTGACTTTAACCTCCTTGCCACCTTCTCCAGCTTCCTCATCCAATACTTCATCACCACCGCCACCACTTTCAGCTCCAACCCCTCTGCCATAATGATGATCCTTGGTGGATGATCCCTCAAACAAGTTCATCGGTATGACCATGTTAAGTGCTGGTCGACCACGCAAGTCCTGCCTCCGCTGCTCCATGCTCTCCTGTTTTTTTTTTTTTTTTGGACCATTGAAAGCTCTTGGTGTTAATCATGCTGGCAATAGAAGTAATACACATGCCAGGTGAAATAAACATCTACTCTTTAAGTTGTATCCCTAACAGTCACTCCTCAAAATCCACTTATTTCATTATCATTAGACAGACAATCATCATCCCATCAATTTTCATTACTAAAAAGAATCTCACACCTCATCAATTCGGTTGTTTCTAAAACGCATTTCAAACTTTTACTTCTTTCTCAGCTTCTACTAAAACCTTGAAAGAAACAAACCCATTATAATGCACCGACTGATCAAAAAGACTGAAAACAAAAAATTAAGGAGATTGTTTTTTTTTTTTATAATAAAAATTAAGGAGATTGTAGGATCATTAGACACTGTCATATACCAGTCTCATGAAATGCATTTACGAAGAAAGTAAGCTCTAAAGTAAATATTAGAAAAAGACTCAAGGAAAAGTGTAATCCAGAATCTTGCCTGCATTACTGCCTTCAACTCCTGTTCAAAACTGGCCTCCTCCTCGGGGTCCACATTCGCTACCTTTTGTCTGATACGAACTTCATCATCCTCATCAGAACCAGGTGCATCCCTGTCATCATAATCCTCATCCGTGCCACCTTCATCATCATGGGTTTCTTCATCTATCTCGTCATCATGTTCAATCGTGCCACTACCACCTGAATCAGTGTCACTATCCAGAACATCCTCATGTAACCCGCCATTTTCGTCATCTCCATTCACAAGCCTTTGACCATTAGCAGAGGGGGCATTGTTGGAAAGTGTCCTGACAGGAGGCTTCCCAGTATCAGAGCGCCTTTCCCGTCTTTCGCTGTGATTCTTTTCCGAAACATGACGTTCATTCTCTTCATGTTCTAGAAGAGCTGCATTGACTTCTTCAGCGGATGAGTACCGGATCATGTTAGGGCGCAAATCAGCAAATAAATCCTGTGCCAATTCAAATTGGAAAAAGAAACGATTAAGCAGAAGTGGGCAAAAATAATGAAGCAACTTGGCTTTCTGTGGACATTACCCACTCCCTACTGAGAGTTCAGATGAAGCTATAGCTAGTAAAAGCCCCATCCAAACTTAAGGCAAAAGGCAGTCCTCTCCACCTAAGTGTCAGGTGAATTAGGAAGAACACAGTAACAACTTAAAATGGAGGTACCTATAAGGCTATAATATAAAACAGAACTTCCCAAAAACTGTGCACATCTATACTGTATAAATTGGCATACATTGAAGCAAGTTTGCCATCTTGCTAGTGTAATTTACATCCTATGATAACGGCTGATGTCTTTCTTTATCTTCAAGATACTGAGATTACAGGTGCTTCTCACTTTACTGCTTTTCTTATTTTCACCCCAAGCAATAAAAAGGGAGAAGACAAACGTAATTACATCCATTATTAGCATATGCTCTGTGATGTATTTAGAACCTGCCTTATCTTCAAGATACTAGTATTTTGGAGGTTGTGTCTTGACACAAGTTTGCTTCATTTATAGTCATACAAAGCAATCCAAGGGGGGAGAAAATGGGTTCAAGGCCGAAGAAAGGACAGAGCAGCTAAAGATAGAGAGAAAAATGAAACTAAATGTCATATTGATGCCTAAAACACACAAGGTACCACTAACCTACGAACATTTAAGGCTCAAAGCCAAAACACAACAAAGGCATGGAGGAGCATGCACTGCACTGTGCACCTAGCTCGGCTGCAATTTCAATAACTATGTTTGACAACCCCACTCACAATAGTTGCTGGATTTGATCAATTCAACATGAATAAACGACACCTTAAGTAAAATAAGAAGGTGCAAAGAAACAAGTAATAACTAACCTGTAAGTCGAACTCAACATCAAGAGGAAGGCAACCTTTGCTGAGAATATAACGCTGGAAGTGTAACAAAAATCGATCAAGCTTCCTCCTTGAAGAACCTCGATCAAAGTAGTGTCCACATGTATCAAGGAGAGTGATAACCATCCTAATGCGGAAGCAATCCTCAGGTGGATCCAGCACATCTCTCTGACAAAATAAGACATCGAGCAAAAGATTGTTAACCAGAGCAACTGCAATTTTCATCTAATCTCACAAAAACCCACCAATACGTCAACCCACAAAAGAGGGACATTAGATTGCTTTAGTTACTTAAGAAGGCAGCCATTGGAATACTCGAGAAACATGACCAACTAATATGTAGACAAAGTGCCCCTAGGTACTACAAGGAACTGGTATTCAAAGGCCAAAATTTCAGACCAGCAGGAACTGATTTAATACCTCAGGTGTGTCATGACCAAATACCACAATCAGATACAAAGTCTCAAAAATGACTGATGAATCCACATGCTCATAGTTGTAAAGCTCGCCCAAGAAGCGCATATGTGCAATGCGTCTTTGCTGCATCCCATAGTCATTTAATTCTAGGCCAACTCTGATCTCCTCCAAAACCTGCAAGGCCAGCAATGATATAAATAGTGTTCGGCGCCAGACATTCAACATAACCTTAGCTGCTAAAGCATAAAACAATACCACACCAGGATGAACATGGTGAACACTGACGACGACTATTCGTCCATGGTCTAAATGTCAGCTGTATGACTCATCTAATTACGAATTAAGGGATGACCTAATAGAGGTCCAGAAGCAGTGGTACAATTCAAGCTATGATTACTCGAAATATTAGCAGTTTTCTAAGTAATTAAAAAAAATCTACACCAATTCCAATCAATCTTCAAATGATTATCCAAAATGTAACTTAGTTTTCAAAATTAAGCATTAGAGCCGGTCTTAGGAGAAATTATATCCCATCAGGCTACAAGAACATTTAAGTAGGAACAGCTGTCAGACCTCATCGACAACAGCAACTGCAAACTCATCATGATAGCGGCTTAGCCCGGCAGTGAGAGAAGCAATCAAGTGAATCTGCCCATACTTCCCCCGGTGAACCTTCAGAAAGCATTTCAATAGATAATCCTCACATTCACTCCATGGCAATTTACGGAGTTGTCGCAGCACACGCTCGATGGAGGACTTATCCAGATCCGAGAACAGTAACTTTCGGATGTACTGCAGGCAGGACAAATAGAACATACAGCGTTAAAAAAGGCCTACCCGCCAAAACGAAGTAAAGGAATTATTTGGAAATTGATCTTACTTGATGCAGGGGAGGGCGGACTTTAGACACCCGTGCAGATCTCTCAGGTGGTTTACACAGATAGTAAGCATTTTCTACAAGGGTGCTATGTCTAGGATCCAAATTTTTCACATTTTTCAAGCGCATGAGTATTTCCAACATGTTGGCCATGCGCACAGTGGTTTCAGGAGACCTATATAGGAAGCGGCCGCAGGTCTCAAGAAGATTGCAAGCAACATCAATATTGTGATGAGTAAATTCATCTAAACAGGCCTGCAAGAGAAAGTACCAACCTGAGTATTAAAATAAGCTGCAGGAACCAAACTGTACCATAAATGCAGTGAGACAGCACAAAAACCACAACTGGCTCATAACTGAATATGAAAAGGTAGTCATTGTTAAAAGATTGTGATGCTTGGTACAGAGATATGACAGGCCAGAAATTCACAGCAGTATCTGAAAACAATAAAACATAAAAGGGGTGTCCAAATATATTTTGCAGGAGTTGGTCAGGAGGACTATTTTGGCTATGTCAACATGGTGCATACTAACATGCTGCTAGTTTACAAAGAGCTTCCTGTAATTATTATGTTAACACTAACAGCAAACACCAAGTTGAGTAATGGAGCTGCATGTGGAACTTCATTCATTATAGTAAGTAGTCTGATCGCCAAACAAATATATACTAACCTTCAAACAAATAAAAACCAAGCCAGCTGGTGCAACCCTGAACTTACATAACTCTCCAAGAAATCTTATATTCCTGACCTTGGTTTCGATGTTCATTTGATCCTAGTAAAAAAAAGAGAAGGATTAGCATGTGATGAAGACAAGGATTTCTGAATGACCATAACAAATGGACAAACTCCTGAATAACCAATACATACCTTTTTATTAATTAAGAAATTGAACTCCTCCTCCAGCATCTGTAAGAGCATGGACGACACATCCTTCATGCATGTTGACAATGTAGCAACCATGCGTGAGTAGTACGGTAACAATTCCAAAGATGTACGAGGTACATTAAACAATGCCCTCACAAGCTTTTTCCTGCTTGACTTTGAATTTAAATAGCAGAACTCTACCTGTCAACGAAAGAAAACAGAGTTAGAAAAGGAAAACGCTTATCAACTAAATCGCATATTTCCTAGAAGCCATGCTTGTCCATTTACTGTAAAGCACAATCAGTCCATAGCTGAAATTGTAGGTTTTACAAGACATCCGGTCACTGAGAACATGTTTGTATGTATACCGTCAGTTGATCAATTAAGTCGCGGCTCACACAACCAGGAAGCCTTTGCAGAAGAGCATCCAAATTTGTCCCCTCAACACCTTTGAGCTTCTCCTTCTCATTTTCACCTTTCTTCTCACCGTCTTTATCTTTGCCTTTCTCTTTCTCCGTGTCTTTACTTTTATCTTTCTCTTCTTTCTCCTTCCCCTTATCCAGAACTTTTGAGTCAATTAGAATACCAGATTCACCAGGAATCTCAATGGTTTCTTGTGTGGGTTGGCCTTGATCAGCTTCCAGAGATGACTCCTGAAAAAATGTCAAAATTATCATATCTGAACAAGTAACTAATTGAAACTTCAATCCTGCTAATTCATCCTAGCTCACTGCCAAACATGTGCATTGAAGGAGACTCCTTTGAACAGATTTGAATACATATATCGGAACTGAGACATTTGCTTATTTTTCAATCATTAGTCTGAAATTCTGCACGAGAGAAATCTTCTAGATATTATGTCACTGCCAAAATTTTGAATTCCTTACAGCAGGCTGCTCTTGAGTCTTTGCAGATTGATCATTCGCTTTGCCTTCTGACTCTCCCAATAAAACAGCAGGAACGAATGCTCTGAAAGGGAAATATAGAATGTCCTGAGATGTAAGATGTTTCAAGTCTCCTCCCAAATTCATTAAAAAAATTAAAATCAGCATGTTCTCTGTCACATCATGAGCATTGTAGAGAGGAAAACCTTAGATCTGGTAAGGACTCGTAGAAGGCTCTGGTATCTTCATCATCCCACAGGGGTTCAGGAACAGAGGATTCTTTGCCAGCAGCAGGTGACGAGGCATCCTCCCCACTAGTAACCCTCGTTGTGTGTGCATCCTCTGGCATTACTGGGGGTTGCATATCCAAGGCTTCAGCTAATCTATGAATTAAGAAGTGTAGGATTGTAAGAACTTCAGTGACATTTCTCCCAAACCCAAATACATAATTATTCATGCTAAGCTTCAGAAAATGGGACAATGACTCTAAATAATATCGAAGGCTTGCAAGAGACTTCCGACATTTCATCTCAAATGATCTAATTCGAAGTACTTCACAAAAGCAGACAATGACTGAGCTTTAGCAATCCCACTGAAAATGACTGATCATCAAGCGCATAAAAAAGTATATGCAGGGAATAGACCCACGGAAAAGGAAGTAGTTGCAGTGTGATTGATACAACTGAAAGAAGGAAATACAACAAGCCCCTACTACCCTCACTTTACAGGGACTCATATGCATCTAACTTCAAATTTTACGATCAGTAACATACAATTCGTAGGCATCAGAATGCGCCTAGAACCTGCTAGGGCGCTCTTTATGCTGCAATACGCCAACACTACGCAAAAGCCAATGTAAAATAATCACTTCCGGCAAAGAAATAAGCATCTTCATGAAGACATGCAGCCTAACCAATCCTGTCATTGATTCAGTTGAAAGGCCAACTTAAGGTCTTCAAATAGCTTAAACCCCATCAGTTAACTCATCTTAGTTCCAAAACTGTTAACAGTGCAGTTATAAAAAAGAGGGTGAAAGAGCAATTAGAAAATATTAGCACAAACATCCATCTAGACGGATTTCTGTTCATTCAAAGTCAGCAAAGTATACAGCAACGTGAAATCAACATTAGTCAGACTCATTATATCAAGTGATAGGTAGAAAACAGAAAGCATCAACAGACTGCAGAGTGTAAGATTTCAATACGCTAAGGTGGAAACTACCGTGGTCGTAAAATGTTTAAGCTGTATCTAGCAAATACCAAAGAGATCATAAAGCTCAAAATATATACAAATAAAATGACATGACCCGGAGTACTTACGATGAAACATTGCGATATAAATGGTCATATGATTTTCTTAGCTTCTCATATGATGAGGCATGTTCATCACTCAGCTCCCCTTTAGCATTCAAAATCTTAGCATTTTCATGCTCCATCTGGCGAAGGGACTATTAAGAAAAGAAACTAATCAACCATTTTACAGATTAATGAAGCAGAAGATTGCAATAATAAACAAACAAGCACATTAGTTTGCGTATTTGTAGAAAGAAATGGGACCCAAAAGTATTAGATAAAATTAAAAACATTAAAAGAGAAGCCCTCATCTCAGATACCAAAGCAGAAGACTCTTACTGCATGCTCAGATTGAAGAAGTTCTGAAACAGCATCATGATAAGCATGAAATGGCTTCCTGAACATTTTCCTCTGTTCTGGCGTGATATTAAGACCTCTGAAAAACTGCCATTAAATTACCAGATCAGCCACAGAATAATAATGGGATGTAAGCTGACGCTAAAAACAAATTCCAAATTCCTAAAGAATAAATTTCTCAGATATCTGCTAGAAGTACCATGACAGATTCATAGAATCAATAATGATAATTAAGAGTAATGAAAAAAGCACCCGAAAATTTATGTGGACAATATGAACAAGTAGAACTCAAAGTAAGTTGTACCTCTTCCTCAATTTCATGTCCAGAGAATGGAAGCCCTAAAAACACTCTCCCTTGCCGAGCAAAACTAGCAAGCAATGTCAGATTGGTTTGAGTAGCATCCCGATCCTTTAAGTGTTCTGAGCTAGTAAGATCTTTAACTATACTGATAAAGACACTGCAGTCTTCTAGAACGCCGACAAAATAAAGTTCTAAAAGCAGTTTCAAAGTGCTCCTTTTTTTCATGGCCTTGGAATTCTTGTCCGTATCCAAGTCTTCGCCTGATTTTGAAGGAAAGTAGACCTTCAAAAGTCCTTGTACCAGGCTTGGGGAGAAATCTTTGTAGCGCTGATGAAGCAACGAGCAGATCTTGGTTGCATAGAAACATATCAGAACAGCTTCATTTAGTCAAAAGGCAGGAAAGGAAAAATAAAATTTAAAGGGAAAAATCTTGATCTGGAACTGTAAAATGGTACCTGCACTGCAGCTTGTATGTCGGAACTTCTGAGTTTTGCATCACATATAGCTGTCACCGCCTCACTAACAAACTTGCTAAGGTTAACGTTTCGCAAGTCCTCCATCAGCCCTTCTCTCTGCTCTTCATTAATCTGCTTTAATTTTTTAATAACTGTTGTGTTGCGTTTTATGCTAGAATCTAATGTCCTGAGGAACCCTGAGTCTGAAATGATGATAAAAGAATGAACAATAATAAAGCAGAAATCAATGACACAGCCACAAATGAATACATTCTAGAGACCTCAAACATTTTCCTTCAAAAAATCAAATCATTATTCAATGCATACATGCTAGTACAAATACTACAAGAAGACAAGATATTAGTGCCAGATTGGCCATCAGAACTGGTTTCCCATCGGATTATTGACATGGTTACACGCAGAAGACATTAACTTTATTGGAGACTAACAATCATCAGTCCTTAACACAATCCTAAACAGTGACGGTGAGTTCTGCTGCAAGACCTTTTAGCTAATTTAATTTTACTAGAAGTTCGTGCCAAAGATGAACATGACGTGGGATATTTGAAAAGATGAAATTCTATAATCTTTTCCACTACCTCAATTTTTTGGAGTTTCTTCCCTTAAATCCCTCGTGTTCCAAACTTTCTTCTTCATTCAATTCCACCAGTTTCACATACTTAACGACAAGACAAATCATTTGCTTACTACGTCACAATTACAGTGTATCATAATAACTATCAGAAGCACTAAGAAACTAGTTCTCATTCACGGCTCTATATATATGGATGGATAATACAAACGAAAGTTAGCAACAACTTAATGGGAGGGAAGTAGAAGATATAATATTTCCATTCCACAAACATATTTTATTCATGACACGCAGATATTCTGGCTGAGTAATAGAGCAAGTAATCTACTAAAATCTCGTAGGGAGACTAACCAGGCCTTTCCGGATTCAGATTACTACGACGAAGGGCAATTTTAGCCTCCATTGATTTCTTCATTTCCTCAGATCGAGCAACAGCTTCCTGACAAAGGACGCCAGATTTTTTTTCAAAGATATCAGATTCCATGTAATAAAGAAAGAAGTTCAGTCACCAAACGAACAACAAATCTCTCTAACGTTTGCAATAACAAATTTCTCAACACACCAAAGAAGCTATTTCTAACAGGCTAGCTAAATCAGCAGCAACGTCCGAGTATTATATCCCAAGGACTTCCAAGCGTCCACAGTTACGCCTTACTCGAGAATAAACAAGTTCACCATGGAGCAAAATAACCGTACCGATACAGTAGGGATTAGGGAAGAGTAATTCTCACCTCATCGTCCTGCTTGCCATTATGCTCGCCGCTTCCAGCCCGCGATTCATCATCATGGTGCTCCATATCCTAAAGCACAATCAGAAACCAGGCAATGAAGAAGGAGAATATGATCAAGACATTTGCATTGACAGCGACGAAGCTCACTCAAAGAAACCCTAGCGGATCAAGTGACAGTCAGAAAAACATGATTTTCCACCAACGGAGCGTTCACCTGATCGGAAACTGAGCGACACGGGCGTCGGCCAGGAGTGACAGTCGGAATTCAACAGAGGATGGCGGGGGAAAGGATTGAACCTTTCCTGGGATTGAGCTGAATCGAAGTTTGAGAAACTAGAGAGAGCAAAGAGACAAACGGACTAAAGCCACCCGGGCACATAAAAATAAAATTGAGGATGCTTCCGGTCACGGGTTAACCCGCTTGGTTAACCGTTTCTTTCCTCCCTCGTTCTGGTGTCAAATGGGTCGGGTCGACCAAGAGTATTTTGCCTTCTTAATATGGTTTCATTTTTTCCCCAAGGATATAACAAGAGAACATTATAAAAGAAATCAAAACAAAAATCCCAATTTAGAAACTCGTGATACATTAGTGAAGTCATACTGATAAAATAAAGGAAGCTAACTTCAAAAGAGACAATAATTAGGCTTTTAGGAGCAATGAGCAGCCCAAGTTGTGGTTTATAGGATCGTCCTAAAAATTATACAGTTGAAAAGAACAGAGACGAGCTTACGACAATCATGGAGCAAATGCATTCCAAGTGATCTGCCATAACATCTTTACGAAGGCGACGAACCACCACCTCATAATCATCTTCCAGGAATGCACGAGACAACATTCAAGAAACAATAATTGATAGGGCTTCTTCAACAGTAAGAAGCTCCGCAACTCATCAACCGACAACCTAATTGTGTAATCAACAGTGCAAATAATTTACATACGTTGCAAGGCTTCATGGTGCCCTAACGAACGAATCTTGGGGGATTGGTTCCTAAGACTTTTCGTGCTTAGGTAGTTAAGTTATGACTGTTTGACTTTGGTTGACATTTCTCAATTAACTTTTTGTTAACTGTGAAAATGCATGAATGGGATGACATATGACTTATACGAATGCGATTATCGTTGCTTTGGATGGAATTCATGTTATGGGATACCATCATTCATCTAATATCTGAGAATGAGATCTTAGAGAGAGAAGTTGATCCTTGGTAGTGAGAGAGTCAAAAGTCCATCCCCTTCACCCACCGGATTAAATGCTCTATTTATAGGCTACATTGCGGTGGGTGGGCATTTAATGTGATATGACTACTGCATGTATCAGACGTTTAGACCATGCCTTAGGTCATAATTATACCTAGGACTAGGATGTGACCGTTCCTTCAGAGGATACGGCGTCGTTTTTCCCGGTTTCCTTTCTCAGTTCGAATTGAACGAAATGACGCCGGTTTGGGTAGAGCAAAAACGACGCCGTCTGGCGTTTACAAAACGACACCGGCTTGGGTAGAGCAAAACGACGCCGTCTAGCGCCTCTGACACTCGTGGACGCGTCTTTACTCGCGGAGCTCCATGCCTCATGAGGTTTTTTCCGCGAGCGCGCTGGGCTGTCTCACTTGCGCGACTGGATCTGAGCTATATCCCCAACAGATGGTAACATAAAACAGATGGCTAATACGGTAATAGAATGTTGGATGGTCATCTTGCACCCAACTACTATCCATACAAAAAATATGATTCAACCAGGCAATCATGACATTTTGCTATGTACTAGCCATACATTTTATATTTCGAAGGAAAAATAATATTTTGATGTACACATTTTTTCCTTTGTTTATGACTTTACGCCATATTGTGGCACATCCAGTTGGAAAAACAAATCCTCAGCTTTCCAACAAGGTTTACTGTCAAAAAAAATCAACCAAAGATTTTCTTGCATCTCTTATCAAATAGTTGCACATCTCGGCGAGCTGGTCTTTAAAGGGGACATCGTTAGTAGAAGAAAACAAGTACCAATAGCTCGCCACTTAAGAAGAATCAAAGGCAAAGTAGCAATGTTCATAGTTACCACTTACCACCTCATTTTGCTGCCACCGACATCGTGTTATGTAAAAATTAGCAAACAAATATGAGATGAAGATACTGAAAAGGTCATAATAGCTACGTGGTAAGAAACATGGAGTATTATAGTAGAGATTATCAGGTTCATCGGTAACAAAAGATACTCAAATGGTCATAGTTGTAATATGGCAAGAAACATGGAGTATTATAGTAGACCTATACCATTTGAGTATATTTTATAGTACTCCATGTTTCTTACCACAGTGCAATTATAATGTTGATGTTATTTGTTGGGTTGACATTACATGTCGTATTTAAATACGAGTATTTGTTATTTTGTTTTGAATGTTGTATTTTATTTAAATATTAATATAAATTATAAGTAATTTTTTTATATATATTTATTTTTATATTTTATTAAACCGACATGAACCGGTACAAACAGGATATATCACCGGTCGAATCATACTATTTGCTAAATCGGTCCAGCGGTAGAAACCAGTTGGACAACCCTGCGGCTGAGCCGTCCTACCGGTGAGCTCTGGTCCGCACTTGGTAAACAGCTCGATAAGATAAGCCAGACCCAGTCAGTACAGAAAAACACTCTCCCTTGCGACAATGGAGACCGCCCTCTGCTCCTTCCCTTCCTCCAAGCCCCCGCCTTCGCCAATCCAATTCCGCCCTTCAAACCCATTCTCACTCTCTTTCCCGACCACCACCGCCTCCACCTCCACCTCCTCCCTCCGCCGCGGCGGCCGCCGCCCCCTCACAATCAAATCCGCCATTTCCCGCAACAAGAAGGAAGAAACCGTCGACACCGTCAAGACCCAGCTAGAAAACTGCTACCTCCTCGCCGCAATCCGCTACAAGGGTTTCACCGTCAAGCAGTTCCAGGAGCTCCGTCAGTCGTTGCCGGAGAATTCCAAGCTGATTGTGGCCAAGAACACTTTAGTATACAAGGCAATCGAAGGCACACCCTGGGAGGCACTGAAGCCTTGTATGACTGGTATGAATGCTTGGCTGTTCGTCCACACCGAAGAGATCCCCAACGTGCTCAAGCCCTACAGGAGCTTCCAGAAGGAGAAGAAGCTGGAGGATAACGATTTCAGCGGAGGGGTGTTTGAAGGGAAGTTTTACGGGCCCGATGAGTTCAAGCAGCTGGAGACGATGCCGTCGAGGGCGGAGATTTATGCCAAGCTGTTGGGTTCGTTGCAGAGCCCGGCGATTGGGTTGGTGACCACGTTGCAGGCGCCTGCGAGGGATGTGGTTATGGTTCTCAAGGCTTATGTGCAGAAGTTGGAGGAAGAACAAGGCGGCGGCGGTGGTGGCCAATAGTTTGATCGATTCCTACCCTTTTTTTGGTGTAAGTTCTTCTTTGGGTCTGAGAACTCTAGTTTGTAGCCTGCCTGTTTGGTTGAATTGTTGTAGCAAAATGTGGAGTATCCCAATGGCGAAAATGCTTGTGAATTTTGTAATTGACATTTGAATAGTGACAGCAATTCAGTTACAAATATGGTTATGACTTGTAGCTGTGACTTCTCGAGTGCTCTGTGACCGATTGATTTTGCAGTGGAGCTCTATGGAACTAGTTGGATAGCATTTGCTTGAAGATGTGAAGTTGTGTAATGTGTTAATTTCCTTTGTGCACTGTTTTGGTAGTGAAGTAGTGAAATTTCTGCAATTCGATGGCTTGTAGCTGGGGGGTTGATTGTACTCTTAGGTTATGGTGGAATCTATTGAATGAGAGTTACCAAATTGTGTACATGGCTTTCGCCTAATCGATTCTGTGCACCGGCATAGGGCTGAGTCGGCTCCTGGTTATGCTTGGCATATCAGACATGAGACTTGTGCCTTGTTTGCAAATGACTGATATTCATGTTCTGCATCTATGAAGCACATGCCAGGCTAATGATTGTCGCGACTTTCTGGAATACAGTTACTCTAATCACAGTTTGTTGTCACATTTCAGTCCCTCCTGTGAGTTCAATTTGCTGTTTTTGGAAGTTAAGATAAACGCTTTCATTACTTCTGACAGTATCTCCAAGGGTTCATGGTTGTTTTGTGTGAGGTGATCTCTTTGTCGATTGGAATTCGGAAGAAGATCATCTAAGCGAGTGAATTGCAGTGCTTTTATGCCGTTTTGTGCTACGAAATTGCAACATTCTTCCCTACTCTGCATTCGGAGAACTGGGGTTATTCTTTTGGTGTTCTGTCTGTTCTCATCTCCTCTTTGATTTTGCAAATGAATTGGTCTGTTTCTGGAGTTAATATAGTAGTAATGTTTCATAAGCATTGGGACACACCAGACTCTCTCAAGTTCTTGCTCTTCTATCGAAACGGGTGGGGTTAATCCATCGACGAGAATCGTTGACGCGGAAAGAACAGTCTCCATGTGTGTTTGTTGAGTTAGTTTACTCACAGGCCAGCAGAAACAAGCTGCTAATTATGTGCTTTCTGCTTACTGATGAAGCAGTTCAGCAGTCCCTGTGGTGTCATGATTCTAAGAGGCCAAAGCCAATTGAAGATTGTTTTGTATTATCAGTTAATTAGCTGGACAATTCAACTTTCTTCTTTGTGATTCGATTCGAATTCTGGTCATTAAATTTAGATCATAATCCTGATTGAAAAACTGGGAAGAACATCCGTAGCTGGACAAATCAACTTTCTTCTTTGTGATTCGACTCGAGACACGATCCGGTACATCCGTATGCCACTCTCCTTGCAGCTATTCGCAGGAAGTTTAGTCGTGACTGGTTGGTTCGCCTTACTCATACATACCGGGAAGGGAATAGAGTCACGGACTGGCTCTCGAAGCACAGTCTCGTCTATCCCTACGGTATGCATAAGCTGGGGAACCCACCTCCAGGTGTGATGTCGATTCTCCAGGACGATGTTATGGGAGTCACCCATCCTCGTCGGGTGACAACCCACTCTCCCCTCTCTCCCATGTAATCGTGCTCTTTTTCTCGGCCTCGGCCTCCCGCTAATGCAAAAAAAAAACAGTCAATCTGGTCATTAAAAATTCCGTCTTTTGATATTCTCCCTCCAGTTTTAAAACCCATTTACCCAAACAGGCCCTTAAGAGCTCAGTAGCTCCATTCTCCATTTATTCCTCTTAGTGATGGCAACAAAACCCGAACCCACGGGTACCCACCCGACCCAACCCGGTCAACGCGGGTAAAATCCGTGTTGACGGGTTTTGGGCCGGGTTTGGGTTTAAACCCGTTCACTATTCATCGGGTTGGGTTGGGTTTGGGTTTAGGTAAACCCGGCCCGTGGGTACCCGCCCACCCATATAATTAATTTTTTCGGTATATTTAATATTCTAAACAACTAATCTTATTTATGTTTGTGGAGACATGTCTAGTTTTTTCTTTTTAATTGTGTAGAATGAAGTTGATGTTATGGAGTGGAGAGTAAAGAAACTTAATTGAAAGGAAGAAGCTTTCAATTAAACATGTTATTTATGGATAATTTGTGATTTGCTTCAATTTTCTTGAGTTTTCTAGATTGGTGTTGAACAATTTGTATGGTTAATTTGTGATTTGCTTGAATTTTCTAGAATGGTGTTTTATATATGGATAAGTTGTATTGAGAAATTGATATTTGACTTTAATTTTGATAAGAACTTGTAATTGTAAATTTTTTACGACAAAACCCGTGGGTACCCATGAACCCGCGAATACCCAACGGGTTGGATTGGGTTTGAGTTTTTCAAACCCAGTGGGTTTTACCCCGGGTTTTTTTCAAAGATAAATCCATGGGTTTGGGTTTGGGTTTGGCAAAACCCGACCCATTGCCATCCCTAATTCCTCTCTTCTTCTTCTGGAGGACGATACAACAAATCCCTCCAAACAACATTTCTCAACCGCCGGAAACAAAATCCGGCAGCGAACAAGAATTCCACCGCCACCACAGCTACCTGAAACCTCCCAAGAAAAAAGTTCTCTAGATTCTCTGTGACTGGTGAAAATGGCGCCGGTGGATCCTCACTCCTTCACTGATTCAGCTCACCCGCTCACAACCCACGTCGCCCTCTCCCTCTACTTCGACTTCCCTTCCTCCACCATCCACGCCGCAGCGCTCCTGACCCTCGCCGCGCCTTGCTCCGGCCAGCTATCCCTCGACGCCCGCTCCCTCGCCGTCCACGGCGTCCTCGACCCTCAAACCCTAGCCCCGCTCTCCTTCACTCTCTCACCTCCCGACGCCCTCAAGGGCTCACTCCTCTCCGTCGCGCTCGACTCCCACGCCTCCATCCTCGTCCTCTATTCCACCTCACCGGACTCCTCCGCCCTCCAGTGGCTGTCGCCGCCGCAGACGTTCAACAAGACCCATCCCTTCGTCTACACTCAATGCCAGTCGATTCACGCGCGGTCGGTCTTCCCATGCCAGGACACACCCGCCGCTCGCATCTGTTACTCCGCGAAGCTTAACGTGCCGCGGGAGCTGTCGGCGGTGATGTCCGCCAGGCATGCCGGCCGCCGCGATCCGGTTGCCGGGGACGTGAGCGAGGGGTTTAAGAAAGGGGGTTCTGCCGCGGGGCTCAATTTCGAGTCTCTGTGGTGTGGGGATGGGAGAGTGGTGGAGGAATTTGTGATGGAGCAGCCGATTCCGCCGTACTTGTTTGCTTTCGCGGTAGGGGAACTGGGGTTCAGGGAAGTCGGGCCGAGGACGAGGGTTTACTCTGAGAATGTGGCCGGGGTGCTGGACTCGGCGGCCAGTGAGTTCGCCGGGACTGAAGAGATGATCCGGCAAGGGGAGAAGCTGTTTGGGGAGTATCCGTGGGAGAGGTTTGATTTGTTGGTGTTGCCGCCGAGCTTTCCATATGGTGGAATGGAGAATCCCAGGATGGTGTTCTTGACACCGACGGTGATCAAAGGGGATGCAAGTGGTGCTCAGGTTGTGGCGCATGAATTGGCTCATAGCTGGACTGGCAACTTGATTACCAACATAAACAATGAGCATTTTTGGTTGAATGAGGTAATTATGATGATCCGGTATTGCTATGTCGAGTTTTTGGATAGCTTATAATAGCTTTCTTGATAGTGAATGCCTTAGAGATTACTGACTGTTTGCCATTGGATGGATGTTTGAAGGTTTATGTCCATCTCAAGATTGTATGCACATTCAGAAATCCAGTATCAACTTTTAGGGGTCATTTGGTAGTTGCACATCTAAATGATATATTCAATTTCAATGAATGCATGTACTGTGCAGAATGAGGTGGTTTTTGGATAGCTTATAATAGCTTTCTTGATAGTGAATGCCTTAGAGATTACTGACTGTTTGCCATTGGATGGATGTTTGAAGGTTTATGTCCATCTCAAGATTGTATGCACATTCAGAAATCCAGTATCAACTTTTAGGGGTCATTTGGTAGTTGCACATCTAAATGATATATTCAATTTCAATGAATGCATGTACTGTGCAGAATGAGGTGGTTTTGGTATGAAACTCAGACAATGAGAAACCATGTATCCTCAGATAACCTTGTATTCTCAGAGTCATAGAGAACAATCCCTGCCTACCAAGTGACCCCTTACTGATTATTGCTTCTGTTGTAATGTAATTCTACCTCATTTGGTGGCAGGGTTTTACAACATATGCTGAGAGGAGAATTGTTGAGGTTGTGCAAGGAGAAGAAAGAGCTATTCTGAGCATGGGAATTGGTTGGAGGGGTCTGAACGAGGAGATGGAGAGGTTCAAGGACAACATGGAGTTCACAAAGCTCAAAACTAATCAGGAAGGAATTGATCCAGATAATGTGTATTCTCAAGTTCCTTATGAGAAGGGTTTTCAGTTTCTTGCTCGAATTGAACGCCAGGTAAGGTCAAGTTAAGTAAGTCATTGTTTGTTCCTGGTGTTGATATGCGAGAGAGATATTCATCATGGTTCTGTTGGTTTCCGGTTCCACCAGATTGGAAGATCTGCATTTGATGAGTTTACCAAGAAGTATATCGAAAACTTCAAGTTCAAGTCAATTGATACTGAGACATTTCTTGAGTTCCTGAAAGCAAATGTTCCTGGAATAGAGAAGGAGGTTGACCTAAAATTGTGGACTGAGGGTACTGGCATCCCTCCTGATGCGTATGAACCAGTCTCTGACTTGTACACTAAGATAGTTTCACTTGCAAATGAGTTTAAGCTCGGAAAGATACCAGGGGAGGATGAAGTTGCCAATTGGCAAGGGCAAGAATGGGAGCTCTACTTAGAGAACCTGCCTAAATGTGTTGAAGCCTCTCAGGTATTACTACACTTCCTGGCTATTTTCTTTGGCACTTGTCACCATTTCATTCTCTTTCCAATAGTTTCCTAATTAAATCTTACCAGTGTCTTTCATTGCCTTCATTTGATTATATAGCCAAAATTTCATGCTGAACTCCGAAAATAAGTGGAAACGTTTTATCAATTTGTGCGTCCTTTACATTCTGCTGCGTCTTAAACTTTAATGTTGCCATTTGGATCGTTAAAGGTTAACTCAGAGTTTATGGATTGTGGGTTGTTGAGACTAGTTGATTGTTTAGAATACATGGATACTGAAATAGATGGATTTTGAAATGGATGATAGGTTGGTGGGTTGTGGAAATGTTTGGATTGTGCGTGATGGATCGCTGGAGTAGTTACAGAGAGTCGATTATCCTTGCATTTACAAAGAAGTGGAAAAAAAAAAAAAAATCAGGGTCAAACACACCCCCACCGCTACTTTATACAATCCATCCGTCCCAGCAATCCATCATGTCTTTTGTGTTTTTGCCACTCTGAATTCTGTCGACTGTTCTTTCCTAGATGGATTGTGTGAATGCTACAAATCAATCCACAAACCCATCATCCAGATAACCCCATAGTACTCTTTCCTTCTGTTCTCTTACAACTTCTATCATGTGAGTGCAGGTCTTAGCCTTGGATGCACGCTATCGGATGTCAGAATCAAAGGACTACGAGGTGAAAGTAGCATTCCTGCAAATGGCGATTTCATCCAAGTGCAGAGATTACTACCCTGAAGTTGAGAAGACCTTAAAAGAAGTGGGGAGGATGAAGTACCTCCGCCCGCTCTATACAGCTCTCGTTCAAGGCAGCGGGAACGAAGAGGAGAAGATCCTGGCCAAAAGGCTGTTTGCAGAGGCTCGCGAGTGCTATCACCCAATTGCGCAAGGTGTCGTCGAATCAATCCTCGCCAAGAACCTCTAGAAGGCAGAAACAGACTGAAGCAACCTTACATACTCTGCATATGGGGTGATGAATTTGAGTAGTAGTACTAAGTATAACCTCTTTTTTTTTTTTGTAAGTTTGGGAATCTTTAACTTGGTCCAGTTGACGAGTCGTGCTATCTGGCGATTGGCCGACCTAAGTATGGAAAGAATAGGTACACTTCTTCGGATCGTAATGAGGGTTTGAGAATTCTTGATGAGCTAAGGCTGAACAGTATTTTAGTTTTTTTTTTTCGTTCCATAACTTTTTGGTATGAAGTATGAACTACTTTCGTATGTTTTTGTTCAAGAAGTTTGAAGCAAGGTTGGCCGAGTATCGTAGACTCGCCAAGAGATGCAGATTGACATGATTTGTGCCAATTTTGTTGAAGGCGTGGAAACTCGAGAGAAGAATCCGACGAAGGTTACAGATCAACGATCTTCTTCTTCATCGATTCATATATCAGAGTGATCTCACTGTTTTCATTTGGTCTAGCACCACATTCCATACACATTTTCAGTCTTTTATGAATTGACATGCTAAAGAAAATGATCTTTTGTGTTACGTAAATTTCCAAACAACTATCATTAATGAAGTATAACACAATCAAACGAACTACATTAATAAATCGCCTATCTCGTATGAAACCCAATATCCAACAAATGACTTCCTAAAACCACAAACATATCCCTGAGGTGAACGGACAGGCACTATAATTATAACTCCTTTTTCACCCTCTTTGGTAGGGATGGCAACAAAACCCGAACCCACGGGTACCCACCCGACCCAACCTGGTCAACGCCGGTAAAATCAGTATTGACGGGTTTTGGGCCGGGTTTGGGTTTAAACCCACTCACTATTCACCGGGTTGAGTTGGTTTGGGTTTAGGTAAACCCGGCCCGTGGGTACCCGCCCACCCATATAATTAATTTTTTCGGTACATTTAATATTCTAAACAACTAATCTTATTTATGTTTGTGGAGACATGTTTAATTTTTTCTTTTTAATTGTGTAGAATGAAGTTGATGTTATGGAGTGGAGAGTAAAGAAACTTAATTGAAAGGAAGAAGTTTTCAATTAAACATGTTATTTATGGATAATTTGTGATTTGCTTCAATTTTCTTAAGTTTTCTAGATTGGTGTTGAACAATTTGTATACTTAATTTGTGATTTGCTTGAATTTTCTAGAATGGTGTTTTATATATGTATAATTTGTATTGAGAGATTGATATTTGACTTTAATTTTGATAAGAACTTGTAGTTGTAAATTTTTTACGACAAAACCCGTGGGTACCCATGAACCCGCGGATACCCAACGGGTTGGGTTGGGTTTGAGTTTTTCAAACCCTTACCCCGGGTTTTTTTCAAAGATAAACCCATGGGTTTAGGTTTGGGTTTGACAAAACCCGACCCAAACCGACCCATTGCCATCCCTACTCTTTTGGACTTCTTTTGAAGAAGTAATTTTCATCATTAACAAAAAGGGTAAATGACACATTTGGTCACTGAGATTATTAAATTGTGTCATGTTTAGTCACTAGAAAAAATTAATATCAATTTTGGTCACTCGAATTACCGAAACTGGTCAAATTTAGTCACTCTCCCGTCAGTTTCCGTCCAACTCCATTAATGTAGTTGGACGGAAACTTTTGGGAGAGTGACTAAATGTGACATGTTTCAGTAATACGAGTGACTAAATGTGACATTTTTCAATAATTCGAGTGACCGGAGTTGGACAGAGGCTACAGAAGAGTGACCAAATGTGACCTGTGTCAGTAATTCGAGTGACCAAAATTGATATTAAATATTTTTAGCGATTAAATATGACACGATTTAGTAATCTCAGTGACCAAAATGTAGGGCTGGCTATTTGGACCGGGACCGGATGAAAAACCGGAAACCGGACCGTATAACCCGGATCGAGACCGGACCGGGACCGGATAGTAAACAATCCAATCCAATCTTTGGGCTTAGATTTGAGGTAAAAAACCGGATAAAGACCGGATAAGAGAGCTCAACACCCAAAACTTAAGGGTAATTTGCATAAACGGTCACAAACCTTTGCACTTAGTACAAAACTTAACCAACTCCTCACCCTTTTAGGCCTTAGGCCACTCAAATTCCCACAATCTCAATATAAAATCAAGACCGAATTGGGACCGGACCGGGTCAAGACCGGACCGGATCAAGACCGGACTGTATCCAATCCAATCTTCGGTCCTTATATTTTAAAAAAACCCGGACTGAACCGGATCAATTTGGCCCAATTTAACCGGACCGGACCGTATAGCCACCCCTACCAAAATGTGTCATTTACCCTTAACAAAAACAAAGCAAGCATACGCTTCTTCTCTCCTCTCGGCGTTATCTCTCCCAAGAAACAATCCCCTCTCTGCCTTTTTTGTTTCCTTTCGTTCCTTCATTCGAAATAAAAAAAAATCAAAACTGAACCACCATTTCATTTCCCTTGGTTCTAATTTAACTGCAACCGCGCTTGAGCAAGAGCGAGGGAAGCGAGCGAGCGAGCGAGAGAGAAGAAAAATGGATGACTACACGAGAGAGATGATGGACCTCAAGACCCTCGTCACTCGAACACTCGAGAAGAAAGGTGTTCTCGCTAAGATCCGGGTCAGTTTCGCTTTCTTGCATCTCTTCAACTTCTGCAATTTCATTTTGCCTCCCCGATCTCGATGGTTGTGGGGTCTTTCTGATGATTGTTCTTTCCTTCCCATTGCAATCTATTTTTGATACTCCTGGTAGGGCAAGGAAATGTGGATGGTTGAACTTTTTTTTTTTTTTTGCTTCCCTTGTATTTAGGGTTCTAGCATTTTCGCCCAATTTTGTTAATTTCGTCTATCGTGAGGCTGGACCTGTTTAGAATAAAGTTTGAATCTTTTGTTTGATCACCGAGCACCGGAAACTTTGTCAAATCTAGGGTTTTCTTCGAATGCTTTTTTTTTTGGGTGGTCTTGGCCTGTTTTTGAAATTCAACGTAGTTGTTGGTGGTTGTACTGGAATGGTTAGACTTTGTTGTCTAGGGAATATGCTTTCTCCTTCCTTGATGGAGGTTAATCGGTAATGTAGAGGAGCTCTTACCCAAGATTTTTCACCGTGGCTTATGTGATGTGATGTGTTTTCTTGTACTCCATTCATGTATCCTTATTCTCATGTGATTGTGGGGTTTACGTTATAGGCGGAACTCAGAGCAAGTGTCTTTGAAGCAATTGAGGAGGAGGATAGGGTAGTTGAAAATGAAGAAGGCTTGCCACCTGCATTGCTGGGTAGCTGCAATGACCGCGCTAAACAACTTCACGCTTCCCCATCAGGTTACTGTATCTAGGCTTGGTCGATCGCTTTGTATGAAATTGGGGTTGGGAAGGGAACTTTCAGTTTGATATCGTTTCCTGTTGAAATTGACAAATGCTTAAATTTTCATTTGCTTTACACCAGAACTGTTTTAAGTCTCAATCGTTTGTTTCTGGTGCGTCGAGGAGTTGGATAGTCTGCTACAATCTCCTATGATTTGACTTCCATTCTCATTTGCAGGGAGGCTATTAACTGCACTAATGTGCGAGTACTTGGACTGGGCTGAACTAAATCACACACTTAAAGTGTATTTACCTGAGTGCAACTTGGTAATCAAGTAGCTTTTAGTTTGTCTTCAAGGTGTTTGAGATCTTCCCCTTCTCTTTCCTCGTTTTTTAAGATAAAAACTCATAAGCTGTGAACTGCATTCCCAATTTGCATTGCAGCAAAAGGATGCATGGAAAGCAGAATTAAAAGAATTCAGTAGCAAGAATGGGTACGATCTCAACAGGAATGGAGATAGCGGTCCTTTGCTTCTCGATGTACTCGAAGGATTCTTGAAGTACGAGGTTTGTCATTAGATTTCTTTCTGGATGGTTTGATGGAATCATTTTATGAAGTAGGTATTTATCATGTACCTGCTATATAATGATGGGATGCAAGACAGTCCTAGAGTCTTATCAAGATTTACATTGATAATCTTAAATGAATTGTTCATTGGATTAATGTGACCTCTATGAAAATTTGCTGATGCATTATGCTGAGACATATGAACTGCTTACAGACTTCTTTAACTTAATGTTTAAACAGAATCTAACTCAAGGTAGGGGATCTGGAAGGAGAGTGTCGGAAAATGAGTCTTTATCTAACTTAGATTCAAGGAATGTGCGGAGGCCCTCTTCATCATCGGTTGCTGGTGGGATACCTCCGTTAGGAAGGTGCGGAGCCAGTTTTAATTTAGCAATGTGAAGTACCATATGTTCAACTCATTAAATAATCGTTTTCTTTTTGGCATGTTCAATTACAGGCCAGGTGCATCATCGTCATCTGGTGAGCAATTAACTAAGCTCTTACTTTCCTTTTCCATCACCCTCTTCCCGCTGTTTTTTTTTTGGTGTGGTATATCTGGTCCTGATTTCAAAATTTATCTAGACAGGAGAGCAGGGTCTTCTATAAGCGGTGGTTACAGAAAAGATGACTACAACTGGAGGTATGATGGTGATGAGATCCCCGAGGAAGTAAATCGAGCTTCAGCTGCACTTGAAAACCTTCAGTTGGACAGGAAAGCTCGTAATCTAACATCATCCTGGCGGTTAGTGTTCCAACTTACTTGTCCTGCTAAGAACTGATGTTGACCTTCATTAATTGATCATTAATCTGCCCCTTTTGTACCGTTTTCACCGGCACATTGTTGCATTACTTATAGAAAAGCCGTTTTTGATTGATGTTAATAGATCTCATCTTCACTGCAGGTCTGCTGGGGATGGGATGAGCGACGATGATGGAAGGGCCGATCATATCTAAGCCTGAAAAATTGACATTTCTTCTTTTGCTTGTGTAGTGTAGTGTGTATTTGTGTTGTTGAATCCATGCATTGTGTTTAACGATTTGCTCAGAAAGCAAGAAACTAACAAGAGGGAAAGATACTGGGTAGTGCTATTTGTATGATTTCCCCCTCTTCACTCTGGCCTTTTTTCCCTAGTATTCCACACGAGCATTCTTGTTATCTCTTCTCGTCTCCCTCTTCGTGATTTCTGTGCAACTATTTGTCGAGTTTCTCTTGCAGTGCGTCAAACATCGTTCGTCGGATAGTAATATATTTACAATGAAAGTAGCTACAAATCTTTCTTGCAACCTACCGTGTTCCCCAAGCCACCTTTTCTCGGTAATATAACTTCGATTCTCATTTGAAACAACTACTTGATCTTCGATCATAATCGCCATATTTTCGTATTTACAATTACAACTACAGCAACAAAAACACGAAGACCGCGCTCACCCCACCCACCCAACGAAGAGCATATACCTTAAGGAAACCTCAAAATCGAAAGCCCCAACGCTGCTGCAGCCAGCAAAATCAAGAAATCTAACTAGGTGCTTGCCTTATCACCCTTCACGAGCTGTTCGTACATCGGGGTTCCGGTCCTAATGCAAAGACAATTAACACAAGTCTCATTCATCTCGCCTCCATGATAGACAATCAACCATCTGTCTATAAACAAACCACCACAACGTAGCTAAAATGTCACTGACGCCAGGCTAAGAAATACATTTTTCACTTAGCAGTTCCAAGACTGCTTGCTTTTCTACACACGATCCGCTAACAAAACTTATGTCCGGCATCGAGAGAAAAGATCACAAGTCGGAAGGTCTACATCAAGCCTAACAATGACACACTCCACCATTTACCCTAAGGAACATGCATACATCACCTAGTATCATCCTTCTGATCATTCAAGTATATATTCTAATGATGACTCAATTAAATTCAAATCACAATTAAATTCAAATCACATTCACAATCATTAAAGGAGGATAGATAAAAAAAAAAAAACGATGGGAAACTCAAAATAAAGCACAGCAACAAATTGTACATACTTAACTGATCACACATCCAGTATTTGGTCCATAACCATAAGGCAGGGGCGGATTGGGTCTGGTGCTTAAAGTGTATAAAGTTAATAAGGGGTCGTTTGGAAGTTGCGATTGTTAAATAGATGTATTGTTGAGAATGCATGTATAATATTATACATGTATTGTCGAATTTGATGCAATGTAGAATACAACGTTTGGTATGTGTGATTGTGTATGTCGTATCAGCTAAAAGCCGAGACAAAACAATCTCAACTCAACTATCTCAACAATCACAACGAAAAGTTGAGATATAACAATCACTCAAAATGAGTGATAGTTTCTGTCACATCACAGAAACAATCCATGTATTGTTTCTGCTAAAAAAACAAAAAAACGATGCATTGTAAACAATGCATGCATAATGACATCTCAACAAAACTATCGCAACTTCCAAACGACCCCTTAAGTTTCTTAAATTTGTGTTATCTTCTCTCCTCTCTCTAACTTTCTCTTTTTTCTCCCTTCTCTCTAGAGACCAAAGTTTTTGAATCTCATGGGGCTGCCGTTGGTTTCCCCTGGATCCGGCGGTGGCCCTAAAAAAATCAAATCTTTTTCTCTTTTCTTTTATTAGGTTGTTCTCTTCTTCCCTTTGATTTTGTTTTTCCTTTTCCTTTTCCTTGCTGTTTCTTGCTTGTTCCTCCCCTTTCTAGTTTTCTTCCTTCCCATGGATGATGACTACTCTCCCTCCTTGTTGAGATGTATTTTGCTCCCACCTTGCTGGTTTCCAGATCTTGTGTGGATGATTTCCGGGTAGGTGTGTGAGGGTGCCGATTTTCGGTTCGCTTTCTCCTCTCTATTTTTTCTATCTACCTCCATTCACTTCATCCATAGCTGGGGATGATTTGGGAGATGCATGGGCCTTTGTGTTCTAGGATAGACTTTTGGGGAGCTTGAGAGCAGGGAAGGCATTTTTTGGTGGGTTCTTGACCGATTTGCTCAGATCTGTGGGTTTGAGGAGCCACGGTTCTGTCCATGTTCAGGGGTTACTCCTCTGGTTTGTCTGTTGTTGCAGGTAGATCTTGGAGAGGTTCTGAGTTTGGTTCCCTATGTCCTTTCTTGCCGCCGTTGTCCTCTCGTCGGCGATGTGTTGTCCTTTCTGGTGATTCTTCCCCGGCGAAAGACGTCTCATGTTGGCAGGAGTTGGTGCGGCGTGTTTTTGGAGATAGGGGATGCTTTCGGTGGCCACCAGGCAATGCTTGGTCAACTGATGTAGGGTTTCTAGATTGGGCTTTCGGGATCCACTTGTTCGGATCAGGCCTTGGGCCTTGGTTTGGGTGTTGGGCCAATGTAAAGTTTAGTTTAGATTTATTTTTCAGTGGGCTTTTTCCTTCCTTTCATTGTTGTTTCAACCATGTACACCGTGTTTCGTATTAATGAGACGACCCATCAACTTTAAAAAAAAAAAAAATAATAATAATAAAATAAAATTGTACATACTCTGTAGGAGGACCCCAATACCAGATAACTAGATAAGGGAACATCAGTCTGTGCTCCTTGTCACTGAGGAATCAATGAACACACAACGGAACACTTGTGGCTTACTATGTGGTTGCTTCATGTAGCGCAAAAGTAGATCCATCATAGTCAGACCTAGTCTTGTAATCTGTGGACATAACACAGACATTATGAAGAAAAAAAAAACAAATATACGTAAAAATTACATCAAATCTTGATATATGCAGTATTCAATCTTACTATAACATATTAACATACCTTAGAAGTAAGAAAGAAACAGCAAATGATTATTGCGTCGATGTGCAGATTGAAAAACAACGCAGTGCGTCGATAAAGTATTTCGTTAAATAGCTTCCGACAGACTTCTACATTAAAATTCCTGTGCTCCTTTTCCAACTCTTCAGCCATAGGATGGCAATTTTGCCCATACCCATGGGTATTTTACTATCCAACCTAATTAGGTTGGGTATGAAATCCAAATATATGGATATGGGCAAAGTTTGATGGGTTTGTACCCATACCCATTTACTTTGGGTTGGGTTGGGTTTATAACAAATGGATTTGGGTTTGTACCCATGCCCAAATACAAATTACAGTTTGGTACCTAAACTTAATAGATATGCATATTTAGTACCTAAATTTTTTTTTTGCATATAAGTCCTCAAAATATCGATGGAAAATTACCTTTTGGTACCTAAATTTTTTTGGTCTTACATTTTGGCACCTAAAATTTTCAAGTTTTACAAATAAGTCCAATTTTTGCATGTGTAGTTAAAACACCCTCAAGTAAATGGATATCCATATCCAACCCATACCCATTTAGATAATATCATATCTAACCCAAACCCATACACACATCACCCAAACTCTACCCATAATAAATGGGTCTACTTGGGTTTGGGCAAAATTACCCATGAGTGGGTAAATTGCCATCCCTATTCAGCCATGCCACATATTCTAACTGAAGCTAACTTTTCAATCTACACAGCCAAAAATGGTATGCCATAGTGAATGTGGAGACATGGAAAATATACTCGAACACCCAAGGGAATGAAAATCACAAGGCCACAATATCACAACTTTCAAAACTAAAAAAAATGTCTGTCACCTCTTTCAAGAATGCATCAATAGCCATATCAGCACACATTGCAAACTCTCTTCCAGGGCAGGGATCTCTTGGTCTGCATACACAATACATTGAAGAAAACCTCAGACAAGAAAAGATGAGCCAGCAATGAGCACCAGTTGGTAAATTAAGTAGCACAAGTACCGAGCAAATGCACAATGCAAACTTGTGGGTATCACTGATGGAACATGATCCGTTACTCTTGATGCACGGGATCCTTGCTCCACTACTCCACTCCTCAAAATTCACTGATGGAACATGATCCGTTACTTCTTGGCGGATTTCCGAAAATTCGCGCTTCGCCGCTCTAGAGCGGGATCGTGGGAGCTAAACCCACGAATTGAGTGACCTAAGAAAGGAGTACCTAGCAATAGAAGCGGAAAGCGACAATTGCACAACATAGTAGTTTACGTGATCTACGTGCAGTGTAAACGAGATTACTCCACGGAGAATTCAAGCTCTTGGGGTCATTTGGATCCAGGTTTTTAATTTGTGGGATTTTGGCTCAAATCACTGGTTTAAAAACCCAGGTTTTTAATTTGTGGAATTTGTGTGGGATTTTAAAATAGCTGATCACCATAAGCTATTTCATAATCCCACAATTGTGGGTTTCTGAAATCTCTAATATTTAAAATCTCTTATCATATAATTGCTTTCCATACGAGTGATTTTAATTAAAATCCCACACTATGTAGGATTGTGCCCAAATCCCACACCCAAAACCTGCATCCAAATTTCCCTTGAGTTCTTTTATTATGCACCAAAAATACACGTCACACTAATAAGGAGTGGAAATCGGTATGCTATCAGTGTTCCAATACCAAATACCAAAATTCTGAATACCGAATTACACTCTAAAGTCAATTTCAATCTCTAAATAATTTTGGTATCCCAATTCCAATCCCTAAATATTTCGGTATCCCAATCGGTATTTCGGTACCCAATCGGTATTATCGAATACGAAATTATTTACCTTTACAATTAATAATTAAATATATGGATAAGGGAGGAGATATGACATTCTCAAGTTCTTGTCATTAGTAATCTTTAATTCGACAATTGGAGGCTAAGAGACACATAATACTAGTGTTTGCTATTTGGTGTTCTGAAAATAACAAGAGATTAGGTGAGAGACAAGAGTGACTTAAATTGGAAAGCGAAAATTGAGTTGGATGAGTACTTTTGAGTTGTGAAAGAGTGGGAATGGGCATACATTGTGTGCTATATTTCATTAATTTTTAAATTTTGGTATTTCTCGGTATTTCTATATATACCGATCCCAATCCAGTAATCCCGAATAGCACTCCATAATGAATCCCAATCCCAATCTCTAAAAAAATTGGTATTCGGTAATACCAGATAGTGATAAGTTCAGTACGGTATTCGGTATATCTCTAATACTGATACCAAACTTCCAGCCCTAACACAGCATATGTGCGACACCTCTTAGCCAGGAACAAAGCTAGAAATTGAGTCTCGAGAAGTCGCAATTGTTTCGTTTATCATTACAAAAAAAAAAAAAAAAAAAATAAAGCACAACCACTCAATCAGTCACATCTTCCATCACTATCGCACACACAACTAATTATAAAACAATATTTAGTTTATACGTAAGTTTTTGTAGTTTTGTACATAACTTCGAAATTCTTGGGGTTCCCTGCCTCTAGCTCCCTTTATATCAAGGTTGTCAAATCCTGGTCGGTTCAATCGAGTCAAATATAAAACGGTATTCTATACGGTTGGAATACACTTCGTTTGGACGATTTCTGGAAAAAGGTAAACTAGTCAAAACCGGGTTAAACCAATTAAAATCAGGTGGTCTAACCAGTCAAAATCGAATTTGAAGATAAGAATTGTTAATATTTTAAAATATATTTCTTTTGAAGAAATAATTTGGTAATACATGAATGCAGATTAGTGAAATTGTTAAAAAATATATCAAATATGTGCATTAGATGTGTTAGGACTTAGGAGTAGTATTTCAAAGCCCCTAAATCCTTTATGTAGAAAGGGTGGTGCAAGGATTCCTTAACGGCTTGACCCAATCAATAAGAGAAGAATCTATTCATGTCAATACCACGTCATCAATATAGATCATTACCACAACAAAGACACTACCTTCACGATAGAGAAGCAACTCGAGATGGTTTGAAACCGAACTCCTAAAGTGTTTGAGTGAACTTCTGGTACCAATTCCGGGGGCTTGCTTTAAGCCGTATAAAGACTTACGCAAGAAGCCCACATGGGTATCGCCCAAATTGCTAGAACCTTGAGGAATCCTCGTGTACACTCCTTCCTCCAAGTCGCCATGTAGAAAGGCATCTTGATACATCAGATCATCTCCAGAGCAACTGCTGTTGTAAACTTCATACTATAAATTGCCAACTCAGGCCATCAGCAACCGAAATACAGATCCGGATCGCTTGACCAAATCTCTTTTCAGTTGGGCTCATGTAAACCGAACCTCACGCCAACTCATGTAAACTCAGGTCACTTAACTGCAACCCAGGCTAAATAAAAACTGCTGTATATTTCATTTCACGGCATGATTTCCATCACAAGCAGGTCATACGATTTTAAGTTCAGTTATAACATTTACAATTACAACGACAGCAACAAAAAAATAAACGCCAAGACCGAGCACCCAGCAAAGAGAAGAAGCCCCTAAATCAAAAGCTCCAACACTACTGCAGCCAGTAAAACCAAGAATCTAGCTAGGTGCCTGCCTTAACACCCTTTCACCAGCTGTTCATACATCGGGGTTCCGGTCCTAAGGTAATCCAGTTCTTCCCAATCCATCCCCGCCCTCTCCATCTGATCCCTCACGTCCTGCATAATGCAAAGACAATTAACATAAGTCTCATTCATCTCGACTCCGTGACAGTCTGACAGACAATCGACCATCTGACTATAAACAAACCACCACAATGTAGCTACAATGTCACTGACGCCAGGCTAAGAAATACATTTTTCACTTGGCAGTTCCAAGACTGCTCGCTTCTACACACGATCGCTAACTAAACATATGTCCGCCATCGAGAGAAAAAATCACAAGTCGGAAGGTCTACATCAAGCCTAACAATGACACACCTCACCATTTACCTTAAAGAACATGCATGCATCACCTAATATCATTGCTCTGATCATTCAAATATATATTCTAATGATGACTCAGGTTAATCTTATACTCAGAGAGAGAGAGAGAGAGAGAGAGGAGACATACCTGAAGGTAAGATTTCGCAAGTTTTTCCTCTTGCATTTGATCAAAAATGAATTCTAGTCTAGAGTGTTCCTCTTTGACCTCAATTTCCAGCCACTGCCAGTCATCAAAAAAAGTTTTCAGTTCTACCAATACATTAGACAGACACCACATCAAATGACCAAAGCTAACAATTGCATTACCTTATGCGGAGGGATCTGACGAAGCTCTTCATCACCTACTCCAAAACAGCAGACAAAATCCAGTACATAACCAAGTGGAATCAATATAAATCAACCATGTATAAATCATTGCTAGGCAAACAACATGGGCAATATACAAAAAACATATACATAACGTACCACGTGTCCTCCAGTAAACGGCTTTAACACCTGATACAACACGTTTGGTGTAATAGTCGAAAAACTGAGGGTAGTATGAGAATATACCAACATGCTCGGGATTTGGCTGGGGCACCTGATTCCCAATTAAATTCAAATCACATTCACAATTATTAAAAGAGGATAGATAAAAAAAAAACGATTGGAAACTCAAAATAAAGCACAGCAACAAATTGTACATACTCTGTAGGAGGACCCCAATACCAGATAAGGGAACATCAGTCTGTGCTCCTTGGTCACTGAGGAATCAATGAACACACAACGGAACACTTGTGGCTTACTATGTGGTTGCTTCATGTAGCGCAAAAGTAGATCCATCATAGTCAGACCTAGTCTTGTAATCTGCGGACATAACACAGATATTATGAAGAAAAAAAAACCAATATACGTAAAAATTACATCAAATCTTGATATATACAGTATTCAATCTTACTATAACATATTAACATACCTTAGAAGTAAGAAAGAAACAGCAAATGATTATTGCGTCGATGTGAAGATTGAAAAACAACGCAGTGCGTCGATAAAGTATTTCGTTAAATAGCTTCCCACAGACTTCTACATTAAAATTCTTGTGCTCCTTTTCCAACTCTTCAGCCATGCCACATATTCTAACTGAAGCTAACTTTTTAATCTACACAGCCAAAAATGGGATGCCATAGTGAATGTGGACCACCCAAGGGAATGAAAACCACAAGGCCACAATATCCCAACTTTCAAAACTAAAAAAATGTCTGTCACCTCTTTCAAGAATGCATCAATAGCCATATCAGCACATCTTCCAGGACAGCGATCTCTTGGTCTGTATACACAATACATTGAAGAAAACCTCAGACAAGAAAAGACGAGCCAACAATGAGCACCAGTTGGTAAATTAAGTAGCACAAGTACCGAGCAAATGCACAATGCAAACTTGTGGGTATCACTGATGGAACATGATCCGTTACTCTTGATGCACGGGATCCTTGCTCCACTACTCCACTCCTCAAGTTAATGCATGGACCTGAAAAAATGTCATTATCATCGAATGATGTTAGAAAGGCAAGTCCTGTGCAACCGTTTCAAAAACAGTTACAAATACACCAACTAAATCTCTGAACCTCTGATAAAGTACAAAGTAAGAAGAAGTTACCATGGGTCATTTCGTGCTTCAAGACAGAAGACAAATGTATACGTGCTACAATTGCATCCAAGGAGAAGTTAATGTATGGCAGTCTCCCTATGGCACGGAGACGTGCAACCTCTGATACATGCATAGGCTCTGCAACTTCGAGTGAATCATACATCAGTGAACCTGCTTCCCAAACGGTACTCTCCAAAAGCCGCTCTTTCAGTGATTCCAAATGCATCCTCAATTCACATGGCATAGATTCCTCGTGCCTAAGAAAACACTTGAGAACCTCGACAAGTTCAAAGGCTGTAATGTCAATTTGCTCCAGGATTGCAGGAAACAACAACATTGTTGCAGGCTTACGTGCTGCGAGTACTAGTTCAACTGAACAAGCAAGCATGCAGCTGTGAAACTTTTTCATGGTTAATAATGTGCTCAGATTGGCTCCATATGCAGTACACATTGCTTCCAAAACCTTATAATATATCTTGAGCACCTCCTGTTTCCTTTGCTCTACCCATATGTTGTCGCCTGTGCTTGTACTTTGGAGACTTATAGAAACACCCTCCTCCTCCACATCATTACATGGAAATAAAGCTTCTAACGCTAAAAGAGCATTTTGAACAACAGGAAACCCATCACAAGACTGCATCAATTGTGCAGAAGGCACACTTGACAGTGGAGATACCACATTCCGGAGCCAATTAGCAGCTGTCATTATCGTTTTCACACATGTAGCAGGAATCATATGGATTTTAGCAAAAGAACAGTTGGCTGCCTCATCGAGAAAAACTCTCTCATCCAATTGTCTCCATTTACACATTGCAAGATCATAATCCATCTCCAGCATAATCAAACTATTCCGCAGAGAGGATTCTTCCATTAAATCTTCAAAATAACTCAGACCATCTGCATGGATGAAAAAATTACGACTTTGTTCGTTGGACGGGATATTAAACATGACCTTTTACTGTAAGGAGCAGTCAGGGTTTCACTTTCAGCATTTCATAGTTCTAAAAGAACGAAAAGGATTAGGAGTATTTTTGTGAACTGAAAAGCAAAACTGTATATAAGATGACCACTGGAATTGTAGAATAAAAAAGGGGAACTTATCCGTTATAAAGTCACAAAAAGGTAAAGTACCGATATTCAAATCAGCTAGGGTCTCACTATCACATTCTGAAGCAGTCCGAGGCTTCTTTTGCAGGACTTCTCTTATTAGAGTAACAGTCTTCTCCATTGAATTGAACACGTCATCTTCTGATGTATCATACTTTTTGGAAAGCGATGCAATCAGATCAACCCGTTTGTTATCCTTCACAACTGCTAACAAATATTAGAAGCATATCAAACTATTCATAGAAGAGACCCCAAAATTATAACAAACGGAAAAATAAAAGGAGATCAGAAAGACCACACCAACCACAAGATCATTACCGAACCACTTATCATCCTTGAAACTGAAAATTCGGAAGTGAGCTGGCACATGCATAATCAGAATAGCCTGATAGAATATTCGTAACCAAGTAAGAATGATGCTGGTCCAGACTAGAGGAAAATGACAGGCCAGCTCTGGGAATCAATTGATATAAGTGATAAATGAGATTCAAAGGAATAACTAAACTTCAAGCATCTGGCGAATGAAGAACATAACTAACCAGTACAGAAATCAAACCATTTATGCAGGTCACCAGGTCCATGGAATAACCAAACGCATGTGAACGGAGTGCCACAAATAGCAACCACCCAAGACGAAGGTAGTCTGAAGCACATTGACTGCCACTAGAGGCTGCTGGCAGGTTATTGCTAGCTGGGTCTATGGATGAGAAGAGCTCCCAATATGCTTCTTTGTAGTGCCTTTCACATGAAACAACAACAAAAAACTGAAGAAAATGAAAAATGCACTAGATGGAATCAGTCTTAGAGCAAGATATGACAGTTCTACACATAGCCTAAGTTTCAATATTACAAGATTTAAGATTTACCATGTGTCCATTGAGTAACTGGAAAAGAAAGACCCAATATGAACACCCAACAAGCGAAAAGTGTTGAGGAACCAGCACAGTGACTTTTAAGATAATTTTCCTTGAATTACTAAAAAAAGAGGGTTATCCAGTTCTACAGAACACCCTATCCAAGCAAGAATAGTAAAATCATGGAAACTCTGGTACGGTAGAGTAAGAAAAACTAACCCACCTGCTTAAAATGTTCAGGTGCACAAAGTTGGTATACAATTCCTTTGCCTGGTAGGGGGGAAACAACTCTAGTAAGTCATCAGGAGAAGGCAGATAAAATATGCAGTCTAACCAAGAGTAATCAGTATACAGCATCATTGTTTATACAGCACCTTGAGCTTTCTCTCCCAGCCAGCATGATACAGATCAGTCATCACAGGCCCAGCTTTGAGGACCATGATTGGTAGCTCTTTGAGGAAAACCTCAAGTCTGGAGATGCAAAGAACAACAAAACAGGAGTTAAAGAACTAGAACACCCCTAATTCTGAGTAAAGAAATCACCCACGCAGATTGCACTTCATCCTTGGTATGAAGGAACGCACTTTAGGTCACAAGATCTTAATATGTGGGTCAAAGTAAGCTCCTCCTTGCTAGCATAAGAGTCCATTTTGTTCAGCACTCCAACTGACTTTGTAAGCCTCGTAGCACAGTATAACGCAAATGCAAACCAAAGTCTTACTGCTTCATCTACCTACAAGGAACAAAAACAGCGGTAACATCGGTTTACAAGTTTATACGCGAATCAGACTGTTACTTATTATTAGTGCAGATGTGCCAGAATTTTAACCAGGATAGGATTGGTAGAAGGTTTGTGATTCCCAATCTCAGCCCAAGAGGCACAGTAGAGGGCAAGGTTAGATGATGAATAGATGAAACTATCCATTCGACCATAAATCTCCAGGCAAACAGCTTGAGCGACGGGATCCAACGATAATGTTTCCTGTCAAGTTGCCGATTTCAATACATAAGCACAATCCACTCAGAACGCAAGAACAAAAAGATTGTTCAGTTCAATTCAGTACAGTCGGCGGTCAGTACCTTGCATAACTTGATGAACCGCTCGGCGGCCAATTCCTTGCGTACCTTGATGACCCGTTGATATTCGTCGGCTCGTCTATGGTGTTCTTCGGTGCCTGAAACCCTCGATCGTTTCATTTCAAACTGAAGCCAGACCGTGGAATCAGCGATAAAACTGCCTTACTCCCTCCTCGCGGTAAATTCGATCCAAGAAATCAAACGAAACCTATCGACAGACTTGGAATTGAAGGGAAAAAATAGCTGTTGAGAAACAGACGGTGGCGGCAGCAAACGTGAAATTGAGGTGATTTTGAGAAGCCGATCGCCGCCGGCCGATTAGGAGGACCCACAAAGAACGTTACAAGGGCGGGAAAAAAACACGGAGAATACGAATTCGATGGAGGTAAGGTAACCCTAATTCCGTCACGGAAAGCCTAATTCCGTCCGGCTGTTCTGAAGAAGAGACGCACCACGGCACCGGATTTCATCTGGCTCTCGACGTGCCAACCCAAATTTTCACTTCCGAAGATCGGCGCTAGAGCTTGCTTGCATGCAGCAGGCTGGTTTTAGCGACCGTTGACTCACCAGTCACCACAATCCAAAGTTTTGCCCTTAAACCAATTATTGGGCTATAAATTTTGGGGAAAAAATCCCAAGTTACACATGTTTTTAAAAAAAATTCTCAAAATACAAACGTTATGAAAATAATTCACAATCTACGTTAGTTTGGGCCATCACCGCTGTCGACAAAGACAGTGATTGCATCACTGTTATCGACGAAGACAGTGATTGCATCACTGCAGTACACGGCCGCGGTGAAGGACTGACCTGCGTCGAAACTTTAAACAAACGTAACTTTGTGCTCGGTTATCCGATCGTAGAGAAATTTTTTTTGATTCCGCATAATTTTTCGAGATCTTGCAAGCCGCAAATTTTCGTAGGCGGTTTGGTCCCGCCTTCGTCTCGAAAATATGTCGTTTGCTACTTCGAACGAGCCTTTTTTCGATTTCGTCAAACTTTGAACGACCATAACCTTGTGCTCCACAATCCGAAAATCATGAATTTTTTTTTGATTTCGCATAAATTTTTAAGGACTACAATATTTAGTAGGAGAGAATTTTCAAAAAATGAATTATTTATGGATATAAGGGATTTTGGGAACAACTTTACCTTCCTTTTCAGGAATCCAAGTACATTCCGAAAATATGTCTATGATAAAAATTGTAGTCCTTAAAAAGTTATGCGAAATAAAAAAAAATCATGATTTTCGGATTGTGGAGCACAAAGTTATGGTCGTTCAAAGTTTGACGAAATCGAAAAAAGGCTCGTTCGGGGTAGCAAACGACATATTTTCGAGACGAAGGCGGGACCAAACCGCCTACGAAAATTTGCGGCTTGCAAGATCTCGAAAAATTATGCGGAATCAAAAAAAATTTCTCTACGATCGGATAACCGAGCACAAAGTTACGTTTGTTTAAAGTTTCGACGCAGGTCAGGCCTTCACCGTGGCCGTGTACTGCAGTGATGCAATCACTGTCTTCGTCGACAACAGTGATGCAATCACTGTCTTCATCGACAGCGGTGATGGCCCAAACTAACGTAGATTGGGAATTATTTTCATAACTTGTGTATTTTGAGAATTTTTTTTAAAAACACGTGTAACTTGGGATTTTTTCCAAATTTTGGGGACCATAACGATTGATGTGTCCGGATCGCATGACTAACCCCTCTCAATTCTTAGATCTAGACACACCAATCTGATGGTTAAAAAGTGAGAAGGACTTTCTAATTAGTGGCAGTCTGGCAGAGGTAATTTGGTTATTATGAAAAATTACGAAGTATACAAACTAGAATTACAAACATACAAATGTTACAAACTAAAACAACAAAACATATAAACAGATTTACAAATAATACAAAACATACGAACTATACAAACAATACAAACGAGACCGACAAACTATACAAACCATGAAGAAATTGGCAGATATATATTTCGCGAAGGTTGTTACTACTTCAGATTCTGTTTTCTCGTTGACTACGCATCAGGTGGCTTTGTGGAAGTCTCAGCAGAGTGCACACTCTTCTGATTGGTTACGTGTTGTTCCCATTGCTGGGTTGGGCAAGACTATGAATGGGAGGACATATCGTAGTGTGCTTAGCTATCGACTGAGTGTCTCGTTGTTTTCGGTATCTAAGCCCTGTCCTGCTTGTTCCCGTGTCTTTCTTGGTGATGTCTTTGGGGATCATGCTGTGTCCTGTGCTGGTTCTGTGGGCATTAAGCATCGACACAACCTCGTTCGTGACACCTTATTGGACATCTGTTACAGGTCTGGGATTTCTGCAGGTAGGGAGGTTGATATCGGTTTGGTTGATGGACATGGCGGACCCCTTCGTCTTGCGAATTTGATGCTTTATTCCTGGGACAGGGGGCGAGATGTGTGTGTAGATTTGACGGGATCTTCACCTCTGACTCAGACTGGGATGACTTGTTTTGTGCCTGGCCGAGTTGTTGCTGATGCTGCTCAGCGAAAGTGTGCAAAGTACCTGGACTTGTGTACGGCGGCTGGTTACGGTTTCCTGCCCTTTTCTTTTTCTTCGCTGGGAGAGTTGGATACAGATGTCGTAGCTTTGCTCAAGAGGATCCATAAATTCTCCATGTCTTAGGATGCATGGGCTCGTGCGGCCGCGTACATTTTTACTAGACTCAGTTTTTCTATAGCTAAGGGAGTGGGCAGTGGGGGCCCAGATTGTATCTCGACTACCCACTAATTTTTTGTAAACCATTTTTCTGCTTCCACTCATAATAATAATAATAATAATAATAATAATATATTCATAATAAAAAAAATAAAAAAATACAAACCATACAAAATGAAAAAAATAACAGGGTTGACTTTGGAAGCTCCATCCCTATATAGAGGTTTTCGTCCCAAAGTCAACCCGGTTGTGTTTTTTTTAGGGCTAATACCACTAAGAAACCCGAACTATTAAGAATGTGTCATTTGTGTCCAAAAGTATCCAATACGACATTTGTGTCCTAAACTATTTTTCCGATAGAGTTGACCGGCGTTGACCGTTAGTTTTAACAGAAAGTCTAGTCAGCATTGATGTGACATCTGAAGTGGATTTTATAATATTAATTTATAATTATTTTTCATGTAAAAAATTACAAAAATTAATAAATAAAATAAAAAATAGATCAGTCGCCCGGATGCTTGCCGCCGCTCCCCTCTCCAAAACAGATCCGCCGATCCCCCTCTCCAAAGCAGAATCGTCCCTTATCTCCGGCATCTCTCGGAAGACAGTTACAGATCCGTCCCCCATCTCCGGAATCAGACCTTCTTCTTCCCGCAATCAAGAACGCTGCAAAAGAGCTCGTCGATCGGGACTCGGAACCCGCAGAGGTGGAGATCCGGATGCGGTGGAATTATCCCTCTCTTTAATTGCGGGAAATTATCCCAACCCCTGGTCTTAGTAAATTATCCCTTCCCCTTTTCATTGGCGCCTCTGCCCTCACCCCCTCTCCAAAACTAGAGTGACGCTTCTGTCTCCAGTTGCTTCCTCTTCCTTTCCTTCCGATGCAGGCGCTGACAGTAGGTTCTCCACGGTAGTGACAAGCAAAGTGTTTACAGCGTCGACCCCCAAATTGTTCACAGCTGCAGTGAAGAATCAATCCCCCGGATTCTGATTCCGCCGCCGCCATGGTCGGCGACGGTGACAACGGCTGCGGAGTCCTAGTTGGCAATTGTTTGACCCATCTAGCTCCGGATCGAACAATGATATTTGTTGGTGTGGGGTTGACTCACGATCCGTTCGTCCAATCTCGTCGGGAGGGAGAGAACCTGTGAAAGAGTCGGGGATGCCCCCCGGATTAAGCTCCGACGGTCAAGTTAGTGTCGGTTTATGGAGAGAGTTGAGAGAGTAGATAGAGAGATGAAGTGTAGAGAGATAGTAGAAAGTGTCAAGTGGGGAGAGAGGGAAGAAGTCTCCTCTTTGGAGGGCTTCAAGCCCTTATATACCTGTAGCGGGTATCGAGCGTTGGGCATCGCCGATTATGCGCCCTACTGCTTAGTCTGTGCGCTCAGTCCCTTAGTCACACCCCCAACAATTGCCCCCCAAGCTGGTGGTGAGTTTTAACTCATCGCTAGCTTATATTTTATTTTTTAAATCTTTGTCGGTAATTTTGGGTGGGGCCTATGTACCCCAGTTGCCCCCCAGCTGGTGGCGCGTTTGAGTGACGCGGTGCCAGCTTCTTGCGTCTTGCCCCCCATTAGCGTCATTAACGCTTAGGAGGTAAAATATTTCAAATTTAATAATGATAGAGTACTTATCTTTATATTGGTACCGTGGCGTCAGGAATAGTTGAAAATCAGACGCTGCGCCATTGAATCACTGAGCGCGTATGTAGCCTGTTGGTGATGTTGCTTGCCTAGCGGAGGAAGGACGCGAGTTCAATTCCTGTCGGCGGCAATAATATTTTTGACTCAGACTAGAACAAGGATGGACGGGGCGGACTGGTGACGCGGGCCGGACGCGAGTTGGGCTTGCGCGCGTCGCGGGCTGCGGGAAGATGCTGCGCGGGTTGGTGTCGGGACCGCGTGTTGAGGGTGGAATCAGATGACGCGATATGTACTGGAGCGGACTCTGAACGCGGGCCGCGAGTGATAATTG